TTGCCTCTATTTTGACACTTAAGGTTTCATTATTTTAAAAATTAATAAAAAGACCCGTGTACCACCACTTTGACTATCCAGGGCCAAATTTCATAGAGCTGCTTATCGGCTGGTTCTGTGCTTACGTATTAGCTTCTACTTCAAAGCACTGCTAACCGTAAGCACACGAAAATGCATTAACCTTACGCTGCTTACTGGACGAAAATGAATTTTGTAACAATGCAACCCATTGTGAACGTACAAGATACAAATTTGTCTGCTACAGTTATAGCACGAAAATTTGCTTACCGGTTAGCAGCTTTATGAAATTGGGCCCAGAAGACAAAAAAAAAAGCTATTCCAAATACGACCTAAAACCTGTTCATAACCACAGCTATAGATATCTACATGAATTTAGCACTGTCCACAACTTATGCATATCCTAATGATGGTAACGATCAAAATCTAACAGTCTCCAGAACAAGATCACAGTTCAGTGCATCCTTTCTTGCAGCGACAGTGGATTATTCATGCCACAATTGTTATGCTTCCGGGAGAGTGGTCCAAAGAGGCTGCCACCCAGTTGTTTCGTTTGTCCAGCCCAAGTCAGATGGCTCTGCATCTCTGGATTCTTGGCCAATATCTGGTTTCAACAGTTGGCCTGGTAGCAAGTGCGCTTGAGGTGCTGCTTGAGTGCTGCCTGGGATGGAGGAAAGTTCTCCAGGTTTCTAGACTTCTGTGCGAAGAGCTGTTTCCTGGCATCATTCACTATCATGCTCTCACTGGTTCGGTCATATTAGCACCACAAATCGCTCTGGCAGTAACATTGATCCTTCACTGACCTCCCTAGGCATGCACAGGAGTTCATCGAAGGAATCATTCACCTCTGGGAAAGACTTCTAAGTTTTTCCTGTGAATGTAGAAACAGTGTGACACCCGGTGAACGCATGAAAGATTGGAAGAGTCATACATTGTGTCAGACTCATGGTGGCAACTATCATGATTTTATGAAAAGCCTTGTACCGAAAGCTTGATCTGAAACCAAAAGCGATCCCCAGCAACACGAGCTGTCTTGCTGAATGAAGCCACGGCCAGTTCAACCGCATCAGTACCAACAATACGTATGGATACCCTTTTACACCCATGGGACAAGGCCTGCCAAGTGTGACTCAGCAGGAGAGCAGAGTACTCACTTCCATCTGTTGCATATTATACAGTTCCTTGCCCTGTGGTAGAGGAAGGTAAACGGCTTCGCATGACATGAAATCAAACAATTCGGTTTTGTTCTCATTGAATCGAAGGAAGTCCTTCCAGCTTTCTGGCAGCAAAATAGAAGGAGCCACCCTTTTCCTGGTGCCCTTTCCCTTTTCCTGCCCTATTGAGGCTTTCAGGCTAGCAGGTAAGTATACACCGTAGCCAAGGTCGATGCGGATGCTTTTCTCGAGTTGAGCAAAGATGTATGGGGCAAACACTTTTCCTCCATACTCTTGAAATGTTCTTGATGTTCCAGGGTTGAGCATTTGAACCACAGCTTCACCATCAATAATTATTGCTTGGCCCACAGGTGCACTATTGTTTTCGAGCAGATTTGATTCCAGGCAGCGAAGTAGATCTGCTTTAACTCCAAACCGCATTTACCTCCAGTTAACAAAGCTGGCGGGACTGCCTGGTTTTCATGAGAGAAGAAATTGTCCATATCTCCATCCCTTGTCTGACACGAGATGTCAATCCTCAAAAAGAGACCACAGTCACTCTTAAGTGCTGCAAGCTGTGCCTTCTGTTTTAACATATATATAACCTTCGCCGGCTGCCGACTGAAAAATGGCAACTTGTTCGTATGAAGTGTTTGTGTGACAGCTAGGTGTCGTACACTGCTCTAGCCTTTCTGTCACAAACTTTGTGTACTGCTCACCTATAGGGTCTCAATCCTTCTCCCCGTTTCAGCCAATTGGATGTCCATGATATGTCGCTTGTGCCAATGACTAGTATGTATTGACTTTGTTCTAGAGATGGATTCCCCATCTCTTTCAGTACTGTCAGAAGTTCCCATCCCTCAAGAATGCTGCCTGTACTCCAGGTTGCTGGTCAAGGTGATGTTTGAATAGTGTTAGCGGAAACGTTAGTTTGCTTTATGGCATGTTCCTCAAACTCTGTAGCGATTATTTAAATTACTTAAACCAAATAAAACACAAAGTAACTTAAAGAACATCTTACCAGTATTATTGAGCAGTAACGGAAAGGAGCAGTTTCCCTGACTTGAATTGAGGTTTGTACCGTATACTGCCTAGCTGCCCACTGACCATGCTATATGCATATGGTCAGTTACAAGACAACTACTGGTTTGGTGCTATAATTAGTGAAATAAACTAACTGACAGGGATTACGATGGAGACTATGCAGGGGAACCACTCCTAAAGAAATGTGAGAACATAGGGGGACAAATAAATGGGAAAACTTTTTGTAAACATTCAAAACTTGCTATTTTTTTGGTCAATTTTGACCTTGACCTTGACTTCATGCAAAGCCCAGAGTTCTGGCGTACCCAAAAGTATTACCAAATAAATTGGCATCCCCAACTTAGTTGGAAATGACACCTTAAACGTTTTTCTGGACTATTTAGTTCAAGAGTTAAGCATGTTTGTACATTAGACTGGCAGCCATTTTTTATTTGACCTCTCAGGGTCATCAGAGGTCAAATCTGATTTCGCTCTACATCTGAAAATGAATCTCATGGTCTGCAGGGGAACCACTCTTAAAGAAATTTGAGAACATAGGAGCGAACAAATGACAAATAAATGGGATTTGTTTCGTTGTAAACATTGAAAACTTGCTATTTTTAGTCAATTTTGACCTTAACCTTGACCTAAATGCCAAACCCCGAAATCTGGCGATCTCAAAAGTATTACCAAATGCATTGGCGTCCTCAATTTAGTTGGAAACGACACCTTAAATGTTTTTCTGGACTATTTGGTTCAAAAGTTAAGCGTGTTTGTACATTAGACCATGCGGACTGGCGGCCATTTTGAATTTGACCTCTCAGGGTCATCAGAGGTCAAATCTGACTTCCCTCCACATCTGAAAATGAATCTTATGGTCTAAACTAACTATGCTAGAAGTTTCATGCTTTTATCAAAAAGTGCACAATTCTCGTTATATGGGGAGCTAATCCGCTGTACTAAATATGCCGCTAAGGTTCTAAAAGTCCCAAATTAACAGATTAAAACAAAATTGGGTTTCCAACACCCCCCCCCCCACGACACACACCCACACACACACACACACATTCCCCTCATTCGACACTTCTTAGTATTTTCAACTTATTGCATCCGTTTATCATATTTATACCGACAATATACTACATGCACGTACAAAGTGACTAATAACATACAGGTTTCAAATTGTAAAGGATGATTACAAAGGCAATGTATTGCAATATAAGAGTACGTCCATATTCTCTCTCATTTTCCATACTGTAATTTCAGTTTCTGACAATACTTTGGACTTTAAAACAAGCTGCAGGGCAAATAGATAATACAATTAAACAATTTATCAAAGGTAAAATAACAATTCGAATCAGTGTTTAAGGCAGCGAGATAACGAAGGAAACGCATGGTATGTAAACAAATTGAATATGTAGAAACATGTAAATAAGTTAGGCAGGTCTCTATAGTATTTTTCACATGTAAAATTTTAACAGACTAGTGTAGTTAAAATATGAAACACAAAGCAGAATCTTATTCTTAAAATGATATTTACTGGAATTATTTCATATGTGATAAATTTGTTTTTTCAGGCTTGTATGAAATGTCTTTTTAGATATTGATCTAAATAGTCGACTTTAATGAAAAATATAGATATAGCCTATATCAAAAGATTTAGAAAATGAAAAAAATTATATTTTGTTGAAACGGTATGGCAAATGTATCACCATGTCAAATAATGTGTTTTGCATTAATAAATCATATTGTATGATGTAGCCTACATAATAACATTCATTTGTATATAGCGCTTAATCATGTTAATATTACATTAAAATTGTTACAGTCACCAGAGAGAGTGAAAATTTCAGCAGCATCTCGAGCCGATCATCCCTCCCCCGCCCCTCTCTCTCTCTCTCTCCCTCCATCACTCCCTCCCCCACCATCTCTTCCTCCATCTCATTCTCTATCTCTTACCCTTTCTCTCTTTGTATTCCCCCTTTTCTTTCTCGCAAGCTCACTGGCTCCCCCTTCCGTATCTCTCTCCCCCTCTCTCTCTCTCTCTCTCTCTCTCTCTCTTACTCACTCACTCTCTTTTCCTCTCCCTGCCCGCCCCCCTCTCAATCATGTTGTAAAAAACAAAACTTTGTATAACACTTTGCCATTGTTTCTATCCATCACCAAATTAAAGAGAAAGGTTAATATGGACTAGACCTTTGAGGTCCATGGTTGACTTCACTGATGGATTCGAGCTGACCTCAAGTGAACTTCGGTAAGGCATATCCTTTTAACACGAGACCTCTTCTGCTGAGAGCCAGAATGGCGCTAAGTGATAACACATAACAGTTTTAATGTCCTTATGGTTCTCAACACAGGGATTCATTGTGTTACCTCATCATTTTATTGTTACCATTTCTGTAAAGTCACATAGATTGGAAAAGAAGACCTTCGGGTTATAGTTATTTAGTTAATCGTTTTCTCTTCTCGATGTGTTTTCCCATTCTGACTCTTTTCCAAATGTACTCTTGTTTGGTATTCAATGATTTTCTTTGTTTTTGTCGAATAAATAATAATGATAATAATAATAACAGAAGACCTAATTTGTTTGAACTAGTCCTGCTGACGTATGTACCTTGATGAATGGATGTCAAGATTTACCGATATACCTATCCTGCCACGTCTTTGTGAAGTCTGTGACCAATAAAATGTATTATTGGAAAGGACAAGAATAATGTGAAACAATAAGAATATACGCCCCTATCTCGCCAGCCCCACCCTCCCGCCACTTCTGCATACACTTATTTGAATACTTTATATAACAATTTTACTTTATGCTGTAATAAGCAGGAGCGGACTGGATTTTGGAGAGTTTGCTGGGGTTGCATGAGCAAGGAGACCTCGAATCTCAAGGGTTTGCCTATAATATTGGCCGGTCTATAACTTGACTCGAGATCCAGTTGATTTTTGGTCTGCGGGCCAGTTAATAAGTATGTTTAATATATATTAGGGCACATTCGAAAAGACCCAACCAAATTTAAATTCCTGCCCGCCTCTGTTCATAAGTTTTGTGAATAAAGCATTGGATTTCGGATGGATATTGCACATTAATAAAGGGATCCTTGATAATCATGTCTTCATCATTACACACATGGTCGGATGATGAGTCGGTTTCCCGGTGCTCCGCGCTTGCCAAATGCTTCAAAAAGCCGGAACTCGATAGGCATCCGATGTTTATTATAAAAGAAAACATTCGAACTACGAGGTTCGTAATAATGATAACTAATTGTCCGATTTAGTGGATCCTTTTCGAAGGGGTAAAAACCGAAGAGGGAAATTTCGTCGCAGAAAAGCGAAGCCACGGAGAAAGCTATGAGGCCTGTGGATGGATTCTTGTTTTTCCATAATCTGTCAAAAAAGAACGAAGAAAAAAACAGAGAAGTCAACTTTTTAAGGCAATGCCAAATGCGATTAAAGTTCTTATATTGAAATACTAAGCAACGTGCTTCAAGAGGATTCGTTTTAAGATAATAGTCTTAAGATAATAGTCTTGAGATAATTATTGGTCACTAACATCATTGCTTCGGTTAATTTTTTTCCATGAAGAAATAATAATTCGACATAATCAGTATTCATGAAATATAGAAGATGCCCTTCGGAAGGGCTGCCATGTTTTTAAATAGTATTTTAAATAGTTTTTTAAATAGTTTTTTAAATAGTTTTTAAGTACGTTGCATTAACATTCTCTCTCCTTCGGTTATATCTTTTCTACATTTCACTTTTTCGCCAACTCATTTTCATACCTCCTTTTTATCTGTTTGAACTAAAGAAGAGTCTTCAAAGTAACGATTAGTGGTTCGATCAGAGCAAAAAACTTACTTTTTGCAAATTCCCTGCATCACTATCGGACTGTATGCCCACTGAGGACCAAAATGGCGCCGGTTTCCATGGTGATTCCGAAAGAACTCTCCTGCCACAATGCCAAGTCTGTCGATGTATCCTCCTTTTGTGTACCATATTACCCCATCGCCTGCCTGATTCATCCGCTCATCCAACTCGGTACAATCCTTCATGATGTCATCCGTTCGATTGCGCGCGCAACTCACTGCGAGCAACAATTGCTCCCAATTCATCGTCGTGATCGATACCTTCGATCCCACGTCGTCTGCGTAGATTCCGCCGCTCGGTGCGAGGTTCATGCGCAACACGAAGTCATGCGCGTCGATGCTCGATCCGCATTTACTCTGGGATAGTATTCCAGAGTTGCCGACGAGTGCACATCGTCGTGGCTGCCACTTAATCGTCTCTGACATCGTATCGTAGGTCGTTTGATGACGGTTTGATGCATTGATGTACTTGAAGTTCTTAGAATTTACATTCCGATGAAAAACCTGGATGGCATCTCGGAGTTCTACTACAGCTGACACCTTTTTTCTAGGGATGAAAACAAAAATACCACGAGTGTTGTTTTTTCTTGTCTAGATACAAATGGTGCTCTATCAAGCAGCTTTCGTACACACACAAATGTAAAACGTGATTAACGAAGGTTAACTTATTATTCATACCTGTGCAGCGGTTATATCATTTTATCTTGTAAAACAAAATCATCAATTGCTGCTGTATATGCTACTTTTTTAAATTGAAATGCGCGAGATAATTTTCTCCACCTTCTAAAGATATTTCATCAAATTTCTTTAAGTGCACAGGATTGTCTTTTTTGTAAATCATTTCTCACCTAATTCTGAGTATGGTTTTAGAAGTCGTTCCGCCCTCGCTCCTTCGAAACACTTTTTGTTCAGATCCATGCCCTGGCAAAAGAATAAACACAAAATTAAAGTGCACGCATTTTACTCAACAAATTGGTTTGAGAGACGGGTATCGACGGCAAAGCTTAAAGAGAAGGTTGAGTTCTGGGAAGAGGTGAAAAATAATTTGTGAGCATTACTCATTCTTATTATGCAAGCGTGGAAGAACATCAGTAAAGACATGTTCCCTGAAAAGCATGGTTCTTCAAATGCCTTCATATTCTAAATATGCATCGTAAACATCGGGGGCCGGCTTTTTACGCCACGTGTTCGTGTAGTCCCATATACATCTTTCTGTGCAAGTGTTTGTAACTTTACCAAGACTTGGCCAAATTTCTTATCATTTTGATGATTCCAGAACCTTGCAATACACACAAATTCTTATATGATAGATGATCAACCTTTTCTGGTCGGTTCCACACCGTTTCTTTCACAATGCAATCGCATGACCAGAACTCAACTTCATCTTTAAAATTCGACAAGCCACAGAGATCCCCATTTCCTCACTACGTATCTAAATGTTTTTGTACTGTGTTGTTTGTGAATGAAGCACATGTGCACCATAGCATCACAGAACTTCCCCGAAATAGATGACTAACTCTTGTGAAGTTTCAAACTTATCTCCCCTTCACTTATTTGCGAAGAAATTGAGAGAGAGAGAGAGAAAGAGAGAGAGAGAGAGAGAGAGGGGGGAGAGGGAGAGAGAGAGAGAGAGAGAGAGAGGGGGAGAGAGAGAGAGAGAGGGGGAGAGGGAGAGAGAGAGAGAGTGAGAGAGAGGGGGGGGGAGAGAGAGAGGGGTAAAGGAGAGAAAGAGGTGACAGGGGCTTGATGGCGACAAGAATGGGGAGGTAGGGTTCGAAGTGGGGCACATTTATAATACACGAAAATGCACAACATTGAAGAAAGATGTGTGGTGCACTTAATACATCAATTCACATAGACTGCTTTGCAAGGAACTCACTTATTATCGTTTCGTTGTTGGCTTCTGTAATGAGCCCACCTTGTGTATAATCAAAATTGGTGCCTGGATCTGGAAAAAGACGAGATGCACATCGAAATTTAATATGAATATGGAGCTGATGTAAACTGATGAGAATGAGGATAATAACAAAAAAAATTGGAGTTCCAATAGTAATGCACTTTGATGGTATTAATTCACTGAGATACACGCGTCAATGACACTAAAATTAGTTCAACTAAAACTAGATTTTCGAGAGCAATTTGATGATCATGGACTTTCAAAAACAGAAATGTTACAAGTCAGTGATTTTATATTTAGGATCTATGTGGATGTGTCGTGGTATAGTGGATCATTCACTAATCTATGGGTTGGAGGTTCGAATCCCAGCCCGGCACTAACGTCATTTGGCAAGACATTGATCCGCATTTGCCACTCTCCACCCAGGTGTAAATGAGCAAACCTGACAATTACTGGAGTGCAGGCATCTCAGAAACAGCTGATGAGGCTTCCCTGGGTAAATATGTGAATGTGTATCATGTACTACTTGAAAATCTGACTGAAGAGAGGCTCAGTATAATACACTGCCCGGCACTGGGAAGCCAAATTAACCTTGTGAAAAACTTCTTTTCCCTACAGTACATGCTAGACATGTAGGCTATATAAAGCCAAAGTCCTAGGGATCAATTCAGAATTAAACCTGGAAAGGTCATGGCGAGTATACACAGATCCGAAAATAAACGTATACTTTATTCAAAATTAAATTACCCATTAATTTAGCTGTACGTCGGCCAGACGAGGGGAAAGAGGAGTAGAAATCGTTTGTGACGACAGCTTAATGATTGAATGATAAGTGTCGTGGGAATAGTAAAACTGTTTAATCGCTCAAAGTTAGTGCGACCAGACATTGTGTAAGAATGGATTGGAAGACTTTCCCCATGAGCATTAGGCAAATAATGATATATTCCAAGAAAACATGACAAAAAGAGAAGAAAACATAAAAAGAAAGAGTAATCCCAAAAGGATGACAATAGTAAGACAATGACGTAGCGTAATCCCCCAGTGAGGGAGCATAGGAGCGTTCGGGGAGGGGGAAGTGGAGGGGGTCGGTCTTAGTCGAGGAATGAATTGCCAACTTGCAAGATTTCTGATTATTTAGGGGTTTTGAGTAGAGATCCAGGCGTCTTTTAATTCTTTTCTATTTACTTTTTCCCCCTTTCTCTCTTGTCTCGATAATTTGTTTGTTATTTTTTACATTTATAAGATCAAGGGCCGGCACGTGCCCCATGCACTTGATGGCACTGTGGGAACGGTTTGGAAGAAGGACAGAGATGCAGGACAGTTACAGACTGTCTTGAGATGGTGTGATGAATTATTGTTTTAGAGGCAAAGAAGGAAATAACGAAACACTTGACACTATCGTAAGCAACCTGAACGATGAATTCGAAAACAAACCCTACATATTTGCATTCAAAGGCCATTTAAATTCCATGTGTACAGTCACTGCTCTTTGCTCAGGATTACGAGGCGAGGTGCGCCCCTATACCATTGAAATTTGAAATTATTCAATATTCGGGCAACTGTTACTTAGCCATAGTGGGGAGCGAAATAGCTGTTTGGTTTCTTTTATTATTTTCATATCTTATCATGATTGTACAAGACGAAACAATTAGAATAATTTGCATGGATACACAATGCACCCAGTTCGCTCGAGAACCAAATAAAAGGAATTAAGTTAACCAGAAACAACGCCCTCCTCAGTGAAAACCAGCTTGTATCCCTATGAATCAATGATTGGATCATTCTTTTCTCATCCTTAACGGTAAATGTTCAGATGTCTCATTGCATCCGTTCTCGAGCCATTATAATAGCTTTTACAGCTTATCAACAAACAGTGAGATCAACATGATTCCTGGGAGACAGTGGGTCACACGATGTCATTGACCAGGAAAATATAATGTCAGAAGAAAGAATAGGTTCGGAAATAAAGGACCTGGGGATGTTTCACGGGGATGACTCAAGATCAACTGAAGTTGGATTTGAACTATAATGGCAGGCGATTTATGTCCTTAAAAAGTCTGGAACCAGATGGAAAATTAGACGAACAAAAACTTTAAAATTATGATGTTTAGATAAAGTTTTTCCCTTAAATAATAAAGTTTACAGAACTGTGAGCTCAGTAGATTTGTGACATCCCTTGATAGACCAATGGTGAGAGCAATCAGTGGCATGAATGGCCTGCCATAGTTCATATCGAACTTCAGTCGATCTGAGTCTTTGTAAAACACCCCCCCCCCCCCCCCAGGATCAACAAGAACGCAAGGTAAGAGAGGTAGAAGGCTTTTAAAAATATTGTTTTCCGTTGATATACACGCACAGTAAAAACTAGCCAGCAACCGTTCAAAAATGATACAGGTAAAATGACATGACGAGTAATTGTTTTTTTTTTTCCTCTTTATAAGTTGCATTGGAAACGAACGCGCGGTATAGTGAGAGTAAATATGAAAATAGTGTGTAAAATATTAACATTAAAAACATTTCAAGGAAAGGTTATTTGTCGTGAGATGTTGTTTACAGTTTTACAACGAGTCATGTACTATTTCGTTTGACTTATCATCACGTTGTAAGTGAACAGGCTTTTAAAGGTAAATGTGCGAAATACTGTAGATACTAGATATTTGGATATATAGATGGAAAGAAGGATAGATGAATAGATAAATAGATAAATTAATATAGATATGTAAATACATAAACAAATAAATCGAAGAATCAATAAATGAATACATACATAAAATGAATAAATAAACAACGACATAAATAAATGAATAAATGAATTAATAAAATAAATACAAACATACTAACACACACAGACACACCCACTCAAGCATCCATACATAAAGAGTAACAAATAAAGTTGGGAGTATATTGACTATAAATCCCTAAAATGATACAACATGCACATTATGAAAGGAAATGAAATGTCCATCTAATCGTGACAATTTCGCTAGGGGAATCTTGTATCTAACCTAACCCCTGCATTCAGTTTGAAGTGAAGAAGCTCGATGACAGACTCATCACAAGTTCCGATCGAGAATTCGAGACTCTGTCTGATCATGTTCGAAAGCCAATCTTTAACGAGACATCCGATTCCTTATGTATCATATCAAATACTGATTTCGATTCCAATATGAGAAAACTATCCATCAAATTCTATCTATAATCGTTGTTCTAGGACAGGTTGTCATGGTATTGAGTATACCATGTTTCGATCAGTTTCAAAACCAATTATATCTGAAGGTTAATGAAGGTCCCATGGAAATTCGTCAGAACGGTGAGAGCAGAAGGTTTAGCTTCCACCTTATATAGACATGATCAAATATGTTACGGCAAAAAAACTGTTGGAACCCCCTCCCCCCCCCCCCCCATCAGTTTAATGATATCAGCTCTTATTTTACATAAGAAATGGACATAGTAAATAATAAAAACACTACCATGACTGATGTGATATCTAAAATAGTATGTTATGTAAGATCTTCATGTTCAAATTATTCATAATTTCTTTGTTAATGAAGGTGTAAACTTTAAGACAAAATACAAGATCGATTCTCAATTAATTTCCATATTATATCAAATGCAGAAATATGATTTCTATTGCTATAGCGTGCAATGTTTAATATAAAGACAAAACTTAGTACCGTGACCGTCTTATGTCGAGAGCAAAAATCGAATTAGCATTGTGTTAATGTAGATGGGTAATGTAGATGTATGGCCAGAGGCGGCCCTCCCGGGGGGGGGGGGAGGGGGGGCACAGTGCCCCCCCCCACTTTTTCAGATACCCCAAAAGTGCCCCTTTTTACATAGGAAAAGTGCCCCTTTTATTTTGTAAGAAGTGCCCCTTTTACCTAGGACGGGTGCCCCTTTTACTTTGACAAGTGCCCCTATTACTTACTAAAAGTGCCCCTTCCCCCTTTTCACCTCTGACGAGTGCCCTTTTTTTTTTGACACGTGCCCCTTTTCCTTCGACATGTTCCCATTTTCCTTTGTAATAAGTGTCCATTTTCCATTCTCATGAATCTTGAAATTATCTTGAATAAGTGCCCTTTTTAATCTCTAGTAAGTGCCTCTTTTCAGGTACGAGAAGTACCCCTTTTCATTTTTAATAAGTGCCCACTTCCCTCTGATAATTGCCCTATTCAAAACTGAGAGATGCTCCTTTTACTTTGACAACTTCCCCTTCTTTCCTTTGTAAGAAGTGCCCCTTCTCCTTTTAATAACTACCCCTTTTTAAACTCGGATGAGCACACCTTTCATTTTAACATGTGCCCCTCTTATTTTCTAATAAGTGCCCCTTTTCCTTATGATAAGTGCCCCCATTAAAAAAAAAGAGCTCCTTCCCCTTCTCATAACTGCCCCTTTTAAAAATCTGAACGGTGCCCCCTTTTCATTCAACAAATGCACATTTTCCTTTATTATAAGTGCCCCTTTTACACTTTCATAAGTGCCCCTTTTCATATCTGGTCAGTGCCTCTTTTCAACTCTGATAATTCCCCTTTTGATAATGATACGTGCCCCTTTTCCTTTCTAATAAGGGACCTATCCCCTTTTCACCTCTTATAAATGCCCGTATCAAAATCTGATGGGTGCCCATTTTCCGTCAACAAATGCCTATTTCCCATTTTCGTAAACGCCTCTTTTTCATTACTGGTGTGTGCCTCTTTTCAGGTGAAAAAATGCCTCATTTTCACCTCTTAAAATTATCCTTTGTACTTTGACACGTGCTCCTTTTCTTTTCTAATAAGTGTCTTATCCCTTTCGATAATTGTCCCCTTTTCATGTAATCATTAAACGTGCCCCTTATTTAAAGCGACTGAGAGCAATTTCTCCCAAAGTTCGCTCGCTGCGCTCGCTCGCTTTTAAAGATGATATAATTACGTTACTTATCAAAGGTCTTTTCAGTCTTCCGTTATGAGAATGTGCTTATAACCCCATCACGATTGGCTTTTTTTCCTCTTTATAAGATTTAATTTTTCGCACTGCGACCTCACAGATCTTTAAAATTTTTCTCGCTCGCTTCGCTCGCTCGTAAATGCATATTCAGACATCACACCCAACTGTAAAGTATGATGCTTAAGCGATATCTTGTATGATGTATGAAGAGAAACAAATATTGAAATCATCCCTGATAATGTAACACAATGTAGGGGTATATACCAATGTCTAAAAAATTGTATATTTTCGCTTTGAGATTTCCACCTGTAGGTGCCCTTTTTTCCAGAAAGTGCCTCTAATATGTTGGTTTCCCCCCCCCCCCCCACTTTGGAAGTCGCTCGGCCGCCCCTGTGTATGGCACACAATACAAATATTATTCTGATATAGATGTAGACGAAAGCATTTTTCATCGAATTATATTGCTTGACACTTCAAGAGGCCCAGGTTTGAAGATGCCTTGTCTTACCAAACATTAAGTGTGACAAAGGTGACATCGTCTTCCCTTAGAACAAAACGAGGACACATTTGCTGAACCTGGTGAAAATATGGTAAGATCATTACGCCTCCAAGAAAAGCAATGTTCTCATTCTTCCTCACAATGTTTCTGAACTTTATCTTGAACTCTGGGGGATTTTATCAAGGACGCCCTCAACATGATCAACCGGGCGACGAAAGACGATGTGATCCAAGCAGTAAATTGGATGTCACATTCGACATGCTTGGGAAACAAATTGCGTCTGATAAGATACAGAAGGACACTAATGACTATGTATCAAGTGAAAGGAGTTAAAGACCATCTGGCTCTGAACAGACGATATTGCTCTTGACTGAGACTCTCTCTGTTTCCATGATATGGAAATAGGATATGGAAACAATATGTGGCAAAATATAACTATGTTTTTGTCTTTTGTCACACATTTTCACTTCCCTCTTTCTCCTGGCGTCGGATGAACCTACTGTTAGTTTAAAGGAGTTTGGTGTCGGAACTGGTCGTCAGATTTTCGAATTTGCCGACAAATCACGAATAATTCCAGTAATTTTGCAGACAGAAATTTCACAAATTTGCTATACGTGTAAGCGTAACATTTCACCCCCCCCCCCCACTCCTTCTTAGCGACATTCATGTCCAATATAGATGGTGGGAAAGTCTATTGTATGCAATATTCGATGAATAAGAGCGGTGTGATGTGCTGACTCATCTAATTAATCGAGACCCATGCCAGTGTCACGCCTTTTACATTTCTCTTTGTTTGCGTTTATTCAACACTTCTTTTGTTTTTCTTTCTTTGTCATTCTCCTACAGCATTGAAAATCGCTGCATAGACGTTTTACATATTATCAAGACGGAAATAATAACCTTTCTCCCAGGTCATGCCCTCCCTCACCATAACCTGCCACCCCCCCCCCCCCTCCCTCACTCCCCCTTTCCGGCTAGGAAAACCATGTTTCGTGCGTTTCAAGCTCCTGAAGTATGACAAATGGGCTACCAGCTGCAATGCTGATAGAAATATGTCAGAATAATTAGGTCAGATTATTTTGCAAAGACTCTTTTTTAATGTATGACTATAACCTACCCTAGCGGTCAAGATCTCGTTTTATCATGACGGTAGTTTGCCCACACACACGAAAATGTGACCTTTGTCTTTTTTTAGATTTTTTTCTTTCCTACTCTAGCTCTATTTCTCTCTCTCCCTCTCCCCCCCTCTCTCTCTCTCTCTCTCTCTCTCTCTCTGCAATATTGTCTTCGAACCGATGACGACCCGCTCTTCAACTAAATTATGTCTCGACGTTCGCTATGAAATTGATCACATCTTCTAACTATCTTTTTAAACTCATAACTGACTAACCTTTAGCAAGGAGGAACGGTGTACCTTTTTTACTCAATTATACTATCCGTTTAAAGAGGTTCAAACTTTGTATTAGACATTGCAAAATATGCAACAAAATTTTGTTGAAAAAGTCCACATTTACAATGAGGGTACCCGGTAAAGAATTTGTAAAAATGTATATCCTTATTTTTCTTCTGTGTTTTGTTATGTTACTTTTATGGGATTATATTTATGATTGTTATTTCATTTTTTTTGTTACCGAATAGAGCCTCATGGAATACCACCACTATTGGTGAAAATCTGCTACTTGTATAAATGTCAGGTATGAATAAATAAATAACTTAGGTCTGAAGTTTGAACAGGCAAGTACCTCCTTTCATGACTCATCTACATACACAGCAATTATTTTTGTAAAGCCTTGAGCAAGCCCGAACGTTCCGTCCTGCAGCCTAAACACTCGTTCATGTTTGAGTGAGGTTTAAGGTGTGGATTAGATCTCAAGTATAAACCGGTTTGTCTATGGTATTTACATCGAAGCAACGCCTACTCTTATTCAATCATTAATGTTAGCGTTGCAAGCCGAAACGGGCCGCTCCTTATTCAGATGGACTATTGCTCGTTGGGCGCGGGAGCACGTGCCCCTCTCGATGCCGAAGAAAAAAAGAAGAGAGAAAAGGCAAGAGAGAGAGAGAGAGAGAGAGAGGGGGGGGGGGAGAGAAATTTACCCTGTATTATAAGGAGTTGTTATTGATTCAAATAAATTGCAACTTGAAATTAATCGCAACTGCGTACTTAAAAGATGAGAGTTGCAACTTTTTACAAGACGGGGACCTGGACTTCCTTTCGCACCCTACCCCAAAATCAGCATCCTTAAAATGCGTATGTCATTGTCTTACTATATCATATTGTATTTTTGTTTCCTTTTTATTTGAAAAGAAAAGGGTGGAAATATATTTTCATCTCTGTATTATATTTCAGGTGAAACATGTAGAATATGTTAATTTGTGTCATTCCTGGGTATTGTTATCTTTACTCTTACACTCAATTATCTATGTTACTCTATAACTTTGAAATTGTTATCCAATGTATAAACAAATTGAGAATGATCCTATTTGTTTGGATTGAAATAAATAAAGTTTGAATTGAATTGAATTGAATTTTCCGAGTAAGATCTGTACCCCCCCATCTTTCCAGTACCTCTTCATAGGGTCGACTCACGCTACCCCAGTGTTGGATTATATCTCAAATATGAACAGGACCGGTGCCTTATCTCATCTCTCATCTAACATACACAGCA